ATATATATATATCATGATATAATACAGGTAAACTGTTAATCGTCTTCCGGTATCGTACAATAATGCTATAAACATATTAAATACATTTTGAACGTTGCAGAAGAGAAATCTGTTGTGTGGAGAAAAAAAAATAGGTGCCCCGGGAACTTCTGCTTTCTATGCCATGAGGGTTTGTTAGGAATTCAAACCCGATTAACTAAGCATCTAAATCTTTACGCTCATGCCTATCAGACAACATGAATCCTTGTTGCATGGCAAATAAGTGACAGAGATCAATATGATACGCCCTCGTCTTATATAGCGGTATTTGACGACAAGATGATACGAAGATAAATATCTGTATAATGTTAATATTTGTTAAAAATTATTAATATTAAAAATGAATGCATTGAAGTACACATAGGCACCAAAGTTTTGTTTTAATGTAGGCGTACCCAGTGCATGTCTATAATTTTCATAACAGAACACCTTAGATGTACTTGTACGAGATGACCTTAGTTTAAATGTAATTCAACTTTCTCCATTAACAAAGGAACAGGTGTAAATCATGTTTTTTTCCCTAGCTTATAATGGCTTAAATGCGCCTTGAGAAAAAAAATACATGACCATTGACCATTGACCAAATACATTGGCTACAATACGTTGTATTTTTAATGCATTAAATTCATTTAGATCCTAAGCACTCTATTTATGTATTGTCACAGATCCTATATGGTATTGTGGATGAACATCGTGTTTAAAAATCAAGGAAATTACAGATTACAGATTTTGTTGTATGAATCTATTCTGCACCACTCCCTCCCCGCTTAATCATAATGTTAAACCTATCACAAAAAGAGTACGAACCTGACCAGCTGCTAGCAGTTACTTTTCTTTCTTCGAATCCTTTGATAAAACAAAGACCATCACAACTGAATGCGTAATGTAGGCCTACAACGTAATATAATGCTTTGTGTTCGGAAGAGGATTCGTTTATTATAACAGGGGGGTGGTTGTGACTTCGCAATATTGGTGGCGTATTTCAACCTGGAAAAATTCAGCGACGACATCCAAGGACTGCAGAGTCAAATAAGAGTTGGTATGTTTCAATAGTATATTTAATAATAAAATTAATACAATGTTTTTAACGTAATTCTTGTGTCTAAATAACATCGCAAAGTTAGCCGAAACGTTCGCAGTCTCGCATGTTTTTATAGGCCTAATAATCTTTTTTGTTTGCTAGTTAATTTAAAAATAATAATAATAATAATAATAATAATAATAATAATAATAATAATAATAATAATAATGTTTTTGGAACTTTTAAATTAAGTTTTACACTTCTACTGTAAGGTATTTTAAACAATGCCTGTGTTTTCATTCATAAGCGGATATTTGGCTTTGAAGCCCTTAGGAAGAGAGCGAAATATTCGTTAAGATAAACGTCGTGGCTAGAGATACGGTACCGTATTTCTGCTTCCATTTGCTAAAGGTATGGGTAAATGGCATTACTTCTCCTTCACCCAATGAAGTGCCAGAATGTGCGTGACGTCATTTGTCAAGACTGGGATGATAGCATATTTATCAAAGACAGTATTATAAGAAAAATACAATTGCCTTGCTATCATCAAAGAGTAACCTTGGAGTTTATATATTTAATGTTAAAATTGGAGATTGATGTAGTGTTAGTCGGTTAAGACGAAAGAGACCTAAATCTCCTCCTTAAAGCAGCAAGTGAATTTTGTAGTAAATGGAAACTGGATTTTAATTACAATATACAGGACAACTTGTAAATAAATATAGAAAATGGAAATTAGGTAACAACTCTATTACAGAAACTGAATGCTATAAATATCTTGAAATTTATATCTCTAACACTAACACCGACTCACAACACATATAAGAGGTTTTAAGAAAAGGTAATAGGATAATAGCATATACAGTATAAAGGCAATTATCTATAATCAGGACAACTTTAACAGAGTTTATTTTAGTGACTTGCTTTGGAGAGTAATTGGTCTACCAACCATCAATTGTGGTTGCTCCGTTTGGCTCAGTGGTTGTAAACCCTTATGCATAATGAAAATAAAATGAAATGGAAATGGTTAAATTTCATTAAACAGCTTTTTTTCGCAACATGACTTAAACCATGAATTTTGTGTAAATCACTCAATTTACCTTTCATCTGATTTTAAACTCATAAATTTGTACAAATGATGATAATGAATGGTTTGAAAGAGCTTGTAAGAAATCAACTTTAAATGAGTATCTCAGATATAAAAACAAACCTTCATACTTGGTATGATGGATGCACAGGTTTTTGCAAATTATGTAAATGTAAATCTGTGGAAAATATAGAGCACTTCCTGTTAGAATGGCCACAATTTTATAATTAGGGCTAAGAGAAGACCTTCCATGAAATTAAAATTGCTCTATTTAAAAATAATTTACATCATGAATATTGAGAAAATTTCTCCAATCGTTCACCAGATCTAAAAATTCATTATTTGGTTGATCTTTTGTCAACAAATTACACTCTTTGTTTAATTTTTGATAAATATATTAAACAATATCTAAAAGATGCATGGGGAAAACGAATAAATGTTTTAAGTGACCCTGCTAATAATGTTAATAGTTTATAAGTTATATAATAATAATAATAATAATAATAATAATAATAATAATTATAATAATAATAATAATATTAAGATTTTATACTTTAGTATGAAAATAATAATAATAATAATAATAATAATAATAATAATAATAATAATAATAATAATAATATTTATAAAGCACACAAATCCACTGCAGTAGAGCTCAAGGCGCTACAGGAGGAAGGAACCAAAAATTAACATAAAGCTACAAAAAAAGAAACACCCCACCATCACCGCACCGTTTACAGGCAATTTAAGGCACAGGGGCCCGCAAAACACACCGGAGAACTAGGAAAAAACAGCCGACAACAGGTGCGTCTAGAGAGCATTTTATAACAAAGCAGTAGACTGACACGAGCGAATAATATTTATTGGCAGTTTATTCCAAAGACCTGGAGTCGACACAGCAAATGATCGATCACCCCATGAGCGTGTAGACTTAGGTTCAACAAGCAGAGGTTTCAATACCAGAGCGGGGAGTTCGCGATGGCACGTACCACACAAGCAGTTCACGAAGATACCCTGAACCTTGAGCAAAATCTTGAAGATGCTCCAAAAAAGAAACAGGTAGCCAATGAAGTTCTTGTAAAATCGGAGTGATGTGCTCAAATTTCTTTGTTCCTGTAATGATCCTAGCAGATGTATTCTGCAACAGTTGAAGGCGATACATGGATCTCTTAGAAATACCAAAAAAGAGAATTCCCAAAGTCAAGATATTCTAGGCCTAATGAATGCATGAATCAATTGTGCTGTTGCTTTCCTTTCCTATGTTGAGGAGCTAGTAATTTTGGAAATATGCCTACTCAATAATCCTACTCAAGGTCATTGAAGGATCAAGTGTAATACCCAAATATATCATTTACATTTTTTTAAATAACTTTAATCTTTAATTATTCTACTTGTATATTTGTAAAATTTGATTTTATTTTTTACTTTTGTGACTGAAGCTTGTCAACGAAACCAATTTTCTTTCGTGGACAAATGAAGTTTCTGTATTCTGTATTACTATTGTTTCGTTGCGCAAGAATGACATAAACTCTCAGTATTTTGATGTTTAACTGGATCTTTATTCTCCAAACGCTGTTCGAGGACTATCGAAAAATAACAATAACAATTATAAAAGCATTATGATCTATAAACAAAGCTTGTAAACTTTTTCTATAACCCCAGTTATAATTATAACAAGAATATGCTAATGAGGCAATCACTCAAGCGTGACGACCAAACTATCGAGCGCCTACATCACGATCACCAACTTCTCGGAAGTGGTAGACCACTGTATTAAAACATTAAGTGTAGGCACTATTCATATACATGTGTCCAGGTCTTACTGATTATAATACAACTGAATATAAATAAACAACTACCACAATAAGATGACTGCTCCGCATAACTTTTAATTTTCGACTCCCAGAATATATTCTAGAGGGCGTTGTCATGATCAATATATTACATCCCTCCTTTCTCAAATCATAGCATCATAGCAGATTTTTATTTTTTTTTATTTTTTGACTAATTTAACTCCAAACTGTTTAACAAACTTGATGGGTATTTAAAATTAATACCACTATCCATACTTTTGTTTATCTATCCAGTGTAGTATTTTAAATATGTATAGCCAGTAATTATCATCTTATACACATCTAGATGTGTATAAGAGACAGAGTTAAGATTTATTGCTTTTTAGTGTTTCACAAAATTGCCGATATTACACAAAAAGAGAAGGGGAACGGAATGTTAAATATTTAATTCAATTAAATATATTAACTTTCCAATGTCTGTATTGCAATTTGTATTGAATAAAATTAATGTATTAAATAACAATTATGGTCTATAGTGCAGGTTCTTTAGTAGCCTAGGGGAAGATTCTGCATAGGCCTAAAGGCCAGACAGTGGCTGCTTTAGGATAAATTTTCTGGGAATGGGGGAGGCTAAGCTGTCCGACACGGGGCTTATATGCCTGAAGAGGGGGAGGGTTGAGATGGGATTTTAAAATAGGAACTCTGGATGGCCAAAATGGCACTCTACGACTGTGAGAGACAACACTCCCCCACCAAACAGAAAAGCAAATATGTTAACATTAGTAATTTGAAATACAGTAGGCCCAATCATCTTAAAAAGAACATATTAAAAGTCCAATCACAACTAGTTCCTTAAGACATTTATTGCTCCTCTACAGAAATCAACAGAACAAGTCCTTGAACAGCTCTCTGAATATAACTCACTACTACAGCATCAGTTATTTTCAACACTTTAGACAATCTTCCAGTCTTCCACTTTCCTCGTTTAACTCCCCTTGTATCAAAACCACGTCATCTACTTGCAGATTTCTACACTCTGTGTGTGTCACTTCCTTCTGATGATTAAAGTGGGGAAATAATCTCTAATCCACTTTCGCCAAAACTCTTTAGTCAACGTTTGTACAAATTTCACTCGCTTCGCACGATTTTCCATGTCGCACCACGGACCACTGGGTGCCTCAGTGGATGAACGTCCCAACAATAAATCGTTCGGACACAAACACCTACCATCCTCTGGACTTGTCGGGTGTCTACAATTTGGTCTGTTTTTCATGATGTTTGATACTTCAAACAATAGAGTCTGCAACTCTTCAAACGTCACCACCTGATTTCCAAGTGCATGAAACAATGACTTCTTCACTCCTTTGATTAAACTTTCTGTGACGCTATATGCCATGGAGAGTCTGGTGTCGACAACTTCCATGTAACACCATGCTTTCCTCCAAAAGTCTGCAAGGACTCGTTGGCGGCAATCAACTGAGTGCCGCAATCACTATAAACTTCTTGTGGGTATCCCCGTATGGATGTGAATCTCCTAAATGACTTAAGAAATGCATCTGCACTATAATCTACCGTCAAATCCAAATGCACTGCCCTCGTTACGAAACATGTGTAAATCCCACCGTATGCTTTTCCTCTGGCTCGCTTGTTGACTTCGCCTCTAGTTGTGAACGGTCCGAATAGATCAACTCCTATGTAGGACCAAGGCGGTGATGGCTTCAATCGCTTGATCGGCAAAGGAGTCATCTGAAGTGCTGCCGTCTTATTGCCAAATCGTCTACAACTGACACAATGATGTTAAATACTTTTCACCATTCGATGTAATCCAATATTGCGATCGAATCTTTGCAACCATAGACTGCACTCCAAGGTGATCCCTTTTTATGGACGCTCTTCGCATATAATCTTGAAAATGCATGACTATGTGGCAATAAGGGAACTCCTTGCTGTAGCTAAATTGAACATTACAACCAACTCTAGTACCAACTACAATCACCTCGTCTTCGCGAACCTTTGGACCCAGCCGTACATATCTTTTGTCAAATTGTGGCTTGTCTGTTTTCATCATTTGTAACATGCTCTTCTGAGCTTCCTTGACCTAGAAACTCTCTGCCATTTT